GTTCAATAATGCAACGTTATTATTATTTTGCCTTTTGCTGGGGCCTGTGGCTGATACTTTTCACCTGGAGAGTAACCCCCCCCTCAGTTTGATGTTTGGGAGCCTTGATGGTGTCCTGATTTACTTAGACCAGGAGTGGGCAATCTTATCCGCAAACGGCTGGTCTGTATGCGGGTTTTCACTGAAACTCACTAATTAGAGTACTAATTGGCTGAAGAGTCCTCACACCTGGGTTTGAACAGCTGACCTACAAGTTATGCCAAAAACCTGCATACACACCGGCGGATAAGATTGCCCACCCCTGACTTGGACCCTGTTAATCCAATACTATAAATTCCTATCAATCTTGCCAACTCTGTTAAATTGAGATTAAGATTCTGGTGCATACAGCAGTGCACACACAGACGAGCATGCAGTGCCAAACAGACGAGCATGCAGTGCCAAACAGACGAGCATGCAGTGCCAAACAGACGAGCATGCAGTGCCAAACAGACAAGGTACATATGGTGCAAACACGGCAAATGTAGTGCAAACAGATTAAAAAGCAAACAGCGCACAAATAAATGACATATTCTGAATAACAGAATGAGATAATGATGCTGCCAGTCAGGAGATATGAATCACATATTCAAAATGAGGGACAGGTATAAATCTAAAAACACATTAAAAATGGGGAAAATAAGAACTATAAGGGTCAAATGGAGTCATTTAATGTGGTGATACTGATCAGAGGCCAGAGGAAAAAGCCTAATCAATGGAAATAATCTATGTAAATCATTCACTGACATTGTCATTCGGATCTAATCCCAGACTTATGCTTTATCTCACATATGTTTGTATATATAGTTCCTTCTAACACAATTTCCATTTACACAAATATATGAGGGAACTGAATGATTGGTTAAATGTCACTGAAGATATTTTCCTGACTGCATTCTTTACACTGTGATTGGGTTCTGTTGGCAGCTGTGTTTGGTGTGGTGCCCCTTTTCAGGAGGGTGTCTTTGTAAGTGCAGCATGTAGCTCAGTGGGCTAAGCCTCTGTATCTGTCATCAGAAGGTTGCTGGTTTCATCCCAGCCTTGGCACATCTGCAGGTCCTTCAGCAGGACCTATAACCCCTGGCTTCTGGGATGCCAAAGCAGACGGCTGTCCTCTTGGCACCTCTTGGGTCTTCCCTTGTGTCTGAGAGGCTCTACAGCTCAGTAGTTGTTGAAGTGGTCCTCTGTGTCAGTGTTGTGAGGTCAGTCCTTGTTGGAGGTTGTTTGTTACCTCTAAAGCCTCCAAAGTTCTTCACACAGCTGTGCCAAGGGATGGAGACAACAGACTTGGTTTTAGGCTAATTCTTGCTTCCTAAAAATCCCTTGTGACTTTGAGGATTTCAGCTGAAAACATGGATCTCACAGGGCGACATTTTGAATCACCTACCTATTGCATAAGGTGCAGTCATTGTTTTCAGAGGGCTGGGTACACACTTTAACTTACTTGATGGTCCTGTAAATTACACTTGAGGCTTCATAGCTCAATGGTTAGAGTGATAGCCTTGTAAACCAGGAGTTGTGAATTCAATCCTGGCTGGGCCCTGTGGCTGATACTTCTGGACAGTAACCATTGACCTGCAGAGTTACTGAGCAACCTGTTTAGATGCACATGTCTTTATATTGTTTGATTACAGTATTTTACTTAAAATGGTGTTGTTTGACTGAATAAATGTGACCATTGACTTTTAAATAACAACTGCATGTCACATTGTCTTGACTTAACAGGCCGAATCCATTTCAGTGAAGTTGATATAGAGTGTCATTTGGCTAGCACTACTACAATGGGACATGATGCAATTTTAAATTTCTAATTGTGTATCTTCAATTTGATGTTACAATTTCATCTACAAATTAAGTATAATTGAAATCAGTTACATATTTTGCATTCTTTAGACAGTTGTTGGAGGTGTTAGCTGCTTTGTCAGATGACTTTGGGACCAGTCAGTACCCGTCATGTCAGTCCTCAGCAGCACACAAAAGTTAGGGGAGTCTTTTTTTCTGTCTCGGTCTTGGTCTCGTCTCGACTTTGTCTTGGTCTTGACTCGGTCTGTCTTGGTCTTAGTCTTGGTCTTGTCTTGGTCACGATACGCTCTGGTCTTGGTAGTGTCTTGGTCTTGGTTTAGGTGGTCTTGACTACAAGTCTAGTCATTCATCACAGGAAGTAAAGAAAGAAAAAGAAAGAATAATTCAATATGCAAGACAGGTATGGAAAATATCCATCCATCCATTGATCTTCCAACCTTTTATTCTTTTATTTTACGCTGTGACACCTTAGCTCATTGCTCAGGTTCACTCAGAGCAGGACCTCTGAGATCTCAGTGTTGTCCTATAAATAATGATATAATTCTATAATTCTGATGCTGTGAGCCACCTACCTGTCACCTCTGCTGTAGTGCCTTTGTGTCCAGAGGGCAGGGCACA